TTCATTTACTTCTGCTTTGGTTTTTATTATTTCTTTTCTTCTACTGGTTTTGGGGTTTTTTGTTATTCTTTTTCTAGATCTTTGAGCTTCGAGATTAGGTTGTTTCTTTGAGTTCTTTCTTGTTTCTTGATGTGAGCCTCTATTGCTATATATTTTCCTCTTATTACTGCTTTTGCTGCATCCCATACATTTAGGAAATTGGTGTCCTCCTTGTTGTTCAACTCAAATTATTTTCTAATTTCTTCTTTGATCTCCTCATTAGTCCAGTGGTCTTCCAGTAGTGTGGTTTTCAATCTCCATGAGGTAGGAGAGTTCCTTGCCTTCTTCCTATTTTTTTATTTCTAGTTTTATGCCTTCATGGTCAGAAAAGATAGTTGGTATGATTTCAATGTTGGTATATCTGTTGATGTTTGTCTTGTGTCCCAGTATGTAATCATCCTGGAGAATGATCCGTGTGCGCTTGAGAAAAATGTGTACTCAGATTATTTTGGGTTTAGTGTTCTGTAGATGTCTGTTAAGCCCAAGTGCTCTAGATCCTTATTTAGAGCTTTAGTGTCTTTACTTATTTTTTGTCTCATTGATCTATCCATTGTTGATAGTGGTGTGTTGAAGTCTCCCACTACGTATGTGTTTTCTCTGATGTCTGTTTTCAGAGATGACAATAGTTGCCTGATATATTTTGGTGCTCCTTCGTTTGGTGAATATATGTTAAAGAGTGTTATATCTTCTTGAAGTATTGTCCCCTTGATCATAATGTAGTGACCGTTGGGGTCTCTTTTTATCTTTTTGAGTTTGAAATCTGTTTTATCTGATATACGTATAGCTGTCCTGCTTTCTTTTTTTGTCCATTTGCTTGTAGGATTGTTTTCCATCATTTAACTTTGAGTCTATTTTTATCTTTTGTAGCTAAATGTCTTTCCTGGAGATAGCAAAAGGTTGGATTTTGTGTCTTAATCCAGCCTGCAACTCTGTGTCTTTTTATTGAAGAGTTTAGTCCATTTACATTCAGAGTTAATATTGATATGTTAGCATCTGTATTTGCCATTGTGTTTGTCTTTCCTTTGATTTTATTTATTTATTCTTTTAATAACTTTTTTCTTTTGGCCTTCTTTTGTTGTTCTTCGTCCCTCTGAGGTTCTGGCTTTAGGACTCTTTGTAGTATTTTTTGGAGTGTGGGTTTAGTTGTAATGAAATTCCAGAGTTTCTGTTTGTCTGGGAAGGTCCTTATTCTTTCTTCATAGAGGAAGGAGAGCTTTGCGGGATAGAGTATTCTTGGTTGGCATCTTTTTTCTTGGAGTCTGTTGACTATGTCCCTCCACTCTCTCCTCGCCCATAGTGTTTCTTCAGAGAAGTCTGATGTGAGCCTGATTGGTTTTCCTTTGAATGTTATCTGTTTCTTCCCTCTTGTCAGCTTCATTATTTTTTCCTTGTCCTAGATTCTTGGGAGCTTTACTATTATGTGTCTTGCTGTATTTTTCCTTTCGTTGTGGAAGTTTGGTGTTCTTCTTGCTTCTTGTATATCAATTTTCAGCTCCTTCTTTACGTTTGGGAAATTCTCTTCAATTATCTCCTTGAATATTTTCTGTGTTCCTACATCTCTCCCCTCTCCTTCTGGGATTCCTATAACTCTTATATTTCCTTTCCTCATGGAGTCAGATAGTTCCCAAAGTCTTTCTTCGGTCTTTTTCCTTCATACTTCTGTTTCCTTTTCTGTTTTGGTTCTTTTTATTTCTGTGTCTTCAAGAGTACTTATTCGTTCTTCCATTTCATCTATTCTGCTTTCATTGCTTTTCCCAGAGTTCTTTAGTGCCTCCATTAATTCTTTGATCTCCTGCATTTATTTTACTTGCCTCTTTAGGGACTCAATTTCATTCTTCAGATCGTTGATTATTTTCCCTTTATCATTGTTTTCCTTTATGACTTCTGTCAGTTTTTTAATCATGGCAATTTTAAATTCTTTTTCCTGAAGGCTCAGAAGTTCTTCCAAGTTACTGTCATTGCAATCTGGGGGTGGTTTTGTTTTTGTGGTATGCTTTTTTTCTGGGGAGTTGCTGGTTTGCATGTGGTTTTTCTACTCCCTACTGTCTGTTTTCTAATTTGCCGTATGCGTTGGGACACTGTGTTGCTGGTACTGGCCAGCATCTTGGGTGAACTTCCCTGCTCACCTCTGGCTCCTCCGGGAGCCTTCTGCCGGTTTCAAGCCGTCTTTACTGAAGAAATGTCCCTGTTCTAAAATGGCGATGTGGGACGCACTCCCTGTGCACCCGGTCTCTTTTCTCAACTTTAACCAAAAAATCCTGCATGTACTTTAATCCATTGTTGCTGCAAGTCCTTTTTGGGCAGAGGATATCCCCAGGTCAGCTGCTCAGAAGTGGCTGGGCCACATTCTCATGTTCACCCCTGCATATCTGGGCTCCTTGGGGGCCCGGGCCCTGCGCAGGCGCCTGGGATACAGCAGTGAGCTGGACGACCCAAGTCCGTCTTTATAGCTGTGCTGAAAGCTATAAAGGACTTCGTACTCTGTCCTCGCGTTCTCTCTTACCCTACTTCCAGCATACCAGCAAATCCACTCGGCTCTTCCTCCAAACGTCTCCAGAATCTGCTTATGTCTCACCCCCTCCACTGCTCCCCCCATAGTCCAATCTGCTGAAGTCTCCATTGTCACAGGATGCTGCTAACTGGGCCCCCCTTTCTGCTCAGGATGTCTGAGTACCTAGTCACACCGCAGCAGGGCGAGCCTTCTAAACTAAGGCAGAAGCCATGCCTGTGCTCTCAGCCATGCCTGACTGAATAAAAACCAAAGGGTAGATTTGAACTTGATGTAGTCTGTGCACATACTGATTTTTCAGTGATATTCATATGAAACTTGTATGCTATAATGCAGTATGACTTCAATTAAAATGTTTTCTTATAAAGTTAAAAACAGTTCTTTCCAATACCCTACAAGGCACTACAGAATTTGCTCCCCAACCTGCCACCGCTCGGTTCTCTAATCTACTTCTCCCTCCCTGGCTAGCTTGTCTCTAGAAACAGCAGACCCTTTGCTCTCTGTTTCACACCTCAGGACAGTTGCCTCCTCAAGCTCTTTGCAGTTCCCACACTTGTCTGTGAGCCCCCACTGCCTCATCTCCTTCAGGGACTTGCTAACCTGTCTCCTTTGAGATCTCCTTAGCCCCAACCACCTACAGAAATGGCAGTTCCCCTTCAAAAGCATTTCCTGATGCTTTCATGCCAGTGAGTTCTCTCCACAGCCCATGTCACCACCTGCCATACTGTTTATTGTACTCATTTGTCTGCTCATTCATTTTCCTGAGACAGTGTAAGCTCTGTGGGAACAAGTGTGATTGCTAATGTCCCTGTCACCCAGGAGAGTGCCTGGACCTCAGTAAGTATTTGTGGAGAAAATGAGCTGATAACTTAAGCATAAATACTGAAATGTACATCTAACAAATTACAGACTAACTCAGGTGTTTCTAGTGTTGATTTCAAATCTTCCTTCAGAAGGCACTGAGAAGAGAGGGGTAAGGGGGGTCAAAAAAAGGGTAGGGGGTACTGACCTTGGGCTGTCCCTGTCCCTCATCCTCACCCTGCACTGGGGTTCATTCTCTGGTCTTGGTTGTAATTGTGCAGGCATTCTTGACTGCTGACACATGCTTGGACTTTACACTTTAAGTGCTACAACTTTTTATATTTTCGTCGCTCCTGCTGTTCCTAATAAAACTAGAAACCAAGGAAGTGAAATTCTCTTCCTTTGCTGCCTTAAGGGCCTCTCAACTACCAGCGACCACATCGACTCATGAAATTTTATTTTTCTGGTTTAATTTATATCTGTGTAAGTTCCTAATAATATATACATCAGGAACACATTTTATTCCGTTTTGTCTTTTGGTGTAATTCATATTATTTGCTGCAGATTCAGCCAGGATGGCCTCCTTGATTTCAGTATAGTTTTTTTTTTTTAATGTACAGTTATGTGTATATAGGGTCGTCTCCCAAAGAACTCCACTGTCTCTGCATTTTCTCAGCCAGCAGGAAATTCTGCCCTAGAATTTCCTGACTCAGCTAAAAGAAACCTAATGACGCATTTCACTTTCAGGGACAGGGGAGTGGAGGGGCAAGTGTTCAACCTTCCCTGGTACTATAAATAGCACTTCAGGGAACACTCAGGTACACTGAACATTTAACATTTTCTTTGCAGTCGGCTCATGTTTGCAGAAAGAAAGTCACATGCTGTCTGCTTTGGTACAAGTCACTTGCCCCCTGGTGCCTCCTCAGTTCCAGACAGATCCCAACAGGATGTTCATTTGCTTATAAACATGGCCTTTTCTCACAGTTGACTTCTATGCTTCTGTTTATGCTGCTTTCTCTGCCTGGCAAAATCCTACTTACTCTTTGAGATTCAGCTCGGAGAGGAAGCTTTCCCTGAGTCAGCTGGGCTAGGTAACTTGGTGTCTTTCCTGGGATTCCCCACCTCTGCTAGCAACTTCATCATTCCTGCCACATAAGTATCCATGTTCACACTCTCTTCACCCCCTCCCCCAACTGTGAATCTGGACACTGGTGACTCTGTGTCTTTGTGTATTTTAGCAAGTTAGAGTAGGAAAACCTCAGCCACATTTGTTGAATAAATGGTTGACTGTATGAATGAATGAAATTGATTGCATTCAAGCAGGGGAATGGAATTCATTTGCGTTTGTTCCCAATTTACTGCCTTTAAAATTAATCCTATGTTTAGTTTGGCATTCTTTGTTTTCCCTAGTGGACACCCGCCACTGTATGCATGGCCATTTAAATAAATTTCATGGAGTTAAACAATTTTTGTTTAATTTTGACAGAACAGGCTAGTTTGTTCCTTATAACTTGTTGGCATCTTTCCCTGTGCTCTTTTCGCTCTGCCCAGTCGTCAACCAAATTCCTCCAGAGAGTTGGCTGTAAACAATGATTTTGTAAGCAGTTGTGTGTTCTCTGCAGTGAAAACCCGCCTTGTTTTCTGTTGCTAGGCGACCCCATTCCAGCTGCCCTTGAAGAAATGCGCGGTGGTGGGAAATGGTGGGATTCTGAAGAACAGTGGCTGTGGCCGTCAAATAGATGAAGCAAATTTTGTCATGCGGTAAGAGAGAGCCCCAGTGCGCCTCTGCCTTTTCTCCTTCCCCTCTTTCCCATAAGCCCTGGGGGCTTTCAGAACCAGTCACTTGGGATTAATAGTAGTGGCTGCTCTTCAGTTTTCCTTCAAGTTCATATACAAGTGAGTTGAGGAAAAGGCCAGCGGAACCAGGGAGCATGCCCCAAGAAAGACCAAAGTCCAGAAAGGCTCAGTTAGGGAGACCCTAAAAGTGAAACAGTCAAATTTTATTTCAGATAACACAGTTGGGTGATAAAAACTTGAAAAAGACAAACTCCTTATGTGTAAACATTTTAATGTATTCATGTCTTCATGTTGCACAGAAGCATTTGCAATAGCAAGTGGGATTTGAAGAAGGATTTGATTTGTGCCTGGCTAGGAAAACTGCAAGAAAGAAGAGGGAATAAATATGGAGACAAGGGCAAGCTTGGAGAGGCCTGAGCAAGGGTTGGAGGTGGGAGGTGACAGTTCCCACAGGGACTGTGAAGGAATGCTAAGCCACATCCAGACAGGCTTCGAGACCATCAAAGCACTGTGGTACCGACCTGTGCTGTCAGTGATTCTGATGAGAAGTGAATGCAATTAACAGCCAGGTTGGTTATAGGCAAGGGGTGACCTGAGAGAGAGGACAGGGAATGAGCACATAGAGGGTGGGAAGTGGCACACCGAGACACTGGGCTGGGTAGGAAGTAACCCTGGAGAAAGGAAGCGGCCAGAAGATCGGTCATTCAGGCCCTAGATGGGGCTGCTGGTAAAGATGGAGCAGTGAAATATTTGAATCAAGGTCAAAAAAAACCAAAAAGGGTCCTGGAATCTAGGCTTTCGGAGCTTTTCTTCTCTGGGGGGTGATTAGCTGTGTGGTGAAAAAAGACAGTGTTCCTGAGTAAATGGAAAAACTCTGGGGCCAGACTCTGGAAGGTCTTTTGGGGGGCCAAAGTCTTGCTGAAATGGGAACAACTCCATAGCATATGCCCAGAGGCTCTGGGGCCAGCAGGGCTGAGGCCTGCAGCAGCACAGAGGGCAGGGAGCTGAGCCAAGGAGGGAGGAGTCTAGTCGGGTAAATAAGTCATGGTCTAGAAGGGACAAAATGTGGCTCAGGTCAGGAGGGGAGAGTCAAGACTATTTGAGTGTTTGGGGAGACACATGTTTGGAGATGCCCCAGTTTCCTCTCAGAGAAGGAGAGTTGGACTCCTTGAAAGACTTCCTAGCTCATTCACTCTGATGAATCCCTCCTTCATGGAGGTGTCCTGCATGGTTTCACCTCTCTATTACAATGATGAATATTATTTTGTAATAGAGACACAAACAGGAAAATAGAGAAAATAAATGTAATTTTCTCTTAATTGAAGTTAATACAGATATGTTCATTGAACACCTGTTTGTGGGCCCTTAGCTGGGTCTGGAATGAGGACTCAACATTTCCATTACGGATAAGAACCTGGAGAGATGGCATTAGAGTCAGAGGGTGGGAAACGGGGGAACTTCTCTTACACTCTGGGCTCAGGAGCAACCTTTCCATGGCTTGGATGTGGGAAAGACACCGAATGCTCCTCCAATACAATGAGCATGGGGAGAGTAGGTCGAGGCTGGGCTCAAGTGGGGTTTGAGTTCTGGGGGGCACTGTTACCTAAAATGTGTAGATGAGAGGAGCAGAGGCCAGGGGCCAAATTCTGGCATCTATTCCAGTGTGTGGCGTCAGGGGGAGTCTGAAGCACCAGTAAGGAAATTATAAATAGTATAGCTGAATAGCATCATAATCACAGAACTCACTAGCTCTATGATCTACAGCACATTATTTCACCTTTGCTGACGTCAGTCCGCTTTTTGGTCTATACCAAGAAGCGGGAGCAGACAATACCTGAAGCATTTCCATTGTGACACAGATTCTGTATATATCATATGGATAGCAGGTCACAGTTACACAATTGATGTAATCCAGTTTAAGTTCTCACTGCTCTCAAGTATAAGTTTATTTGCTCTTTCTTTTTTTTTTTTAAGATTTATTTTAGTTGTACAAGAACAGGGGTACAGCCCAGATGCGCGGGAGGGTGAGAGGATTCACCAGAGACAGTGTGGGGAACAGAACAGGCAGACTGATGAAATACACTGCTGAGCGGAGCAGCAGGCAAGACAGGTGAGCTCTGCTCGCCATGGGGGTTGCTCTGAGGCCGGCAGGGATCGAACTGGCACTGCAGATGCTGCGGACAGCTTCACAGCGCTGCACTCAACCACCTGCGCCACCAGGGAGGCCCTGAAAGAAAGGGAGGTTGTAGGATTTCAAGAGGTCTTAATACAGTGTAGAAGGAGGCAGGACAATAAATTTGTTTTTATATTATTTCCAAGTGTGAATATGTGCATTGCTGCTTTTAGGAAGATGGATATTTTACTTTAGAAATCTAAGCCTAAGAATCTAGGGGGTGGGCCTCCCCTGGTGGCGCAGCAGTTGAGCACTGGGCTGCGAAGCTGCCCACAGCCTCTGCAGCGCTGGTTCGATCCCCAGCCATTGGTGAGGGTCCCACATGGCGTGACGACAGACCTCTCCTGCCATGCTCGCTGCTCCCCTCAGCAGTGTATTTCGTCAGTCTGCCTGTTCTGTTCCCCACTCTGGCTCTGGTGAATTCGCTCACCCTCCCGCACTTCTGACTGTACCCAGTGCTTGTATAAATAAATAAATAAATAAATAAATAAATAAATAAATAAATAAATAAATAAAAAAGAATCTAGAGGGTTATCAAGTGGGCCATATTTACTGTAATTAATAAACAAGGCTAAGTTTACATTGTATATAATCAATGTTTAACATTCAAGTTCAGAATTAATGAATGCCTGGGATTATAGTTCCTGGCTCAACATTGTAAGCATAATGTTGATAGAGGGAGGTGAGGATGGAAAAAAAATCAAAGACAGTGGCATTATAACTAGAGCTATGTATATATGTGTCTTGGATTTAATATCAAGAATATCATCATTACACTTTTTAAAAAAGCCTTGCTTACAGCTGACAGTATAGAAATAATTAAATGTCGATAAATTATGAATTATTCTTATTTGATCGTTTATGGATCTATTTATAAATGATTACTAAATGTACATTTTGGCCACCGTTAGAAAATTAGGGTATTGTTATATACTCAGAATTAAACATGAGTGAATTAACATGACAAGAAAGCACATGTTATGTCTGATGCTAGACTGTAAGGTACATAGACAGTTAACAGTGAGAGAGAAGCTTGCAAACTAGCTTTATCTATCTGCAGAGATAAATTCCAGGCTTCAGTTCAAAATGTCTGCCAGGATCAGGATATAATGATACCATCATTTTCTTTGCTTAAATGTTTTCAAATACTTCTCATAATGCTAAAAAATAGTTTACTGTTTTTCAAAGTAAATATTTGTGCTCTAACCAAAAGCAGTACCTTAACAAAATAATATTGTTGAGTAAGATTTATCTGGAAGGTTTGCAAGATGAAGGTAACAGGGATGGTATTTTGGAGTAGGACTAGGTGACTTAAGGACACAAGTGAGGGCAACATAATTTTGGTGCCTTTTGAATATGCTCAAATATGTGTTTTGCATAGCTAAGTATAAATAAAAATTTAAAGCAGTTTTATGATTTTTCTATTTAAAGATTCCTCTCCATCAAGCCCATTCCCCACCCACCTCTGCTCTGCGATTCAAAGAATATTCATTTCTCATCGATTCTGATCACATCTTTTAGGATCATGAGCTCAGTTACTCAGATACTCTAGCTGTTAATACCTGCTAATTGTGCCAACAAGGGATAATGCAAAGTTTGAAACACTTTTACACAATTATGCCTTATTAGAAACAATTTGACTGTATTAAACATGCCTTTTATGTAAATCTATGTAATTATCAATTTAAGAGTTGAGGAGCTAAAATTACAGTGTGCTTTTTTTTTTCTAAGAGCTACAGCGAAGTGTTACATGCATTTGCTCTCAAAGAGAAGGTTTGCCCAGAACTTAAGACTGATATTTACAGCAAAAATACAGTGTCATTGTTTTCTGCAAATGCATTTGTAAAATGTTGTCTTTCTCATTTCATGCATTTCTCTCAGTTGTAGGATTTGGCAGTACCAGCAAGTTTTTCTTGAGCTGTTACTGTGTGGTAGGAGGGATGAAAGATCCCAGACACATGAGCCATGGAACTTCCTACAAAGAACACACAGAAAAAGTATTGACTCTTGAAAACCAACTTGTTTCATTTAATGATGATTTACTGGTTGGTGTCACTTCCTGTAAACCTTATTCAGAGTTTATGATGTTATTATAATGTGTTTTTTTCTCAGATGTCACAAAGAACCAATTTTTGTGTGTGTGTATGTGTGTGTGGGACCCTTGCCGGCGGCCGGGGAATGAACTGGCGCTGCAGAGGCTGCGGGCAGCCTCGCAGCCCAGCCCTCAACCGCTGCGCCACCAGGGGAGGCCCCAAAGAACCAATATTTAGCCCGTCTTTTCCTGTCACTCATCTTTGCAGACATCAGTGAAGTCACAAGACTGTGGTCAGCACCTCTGCCTGTGAGCCTGTTATTAAGGAAGAAGCTCACTCCCTCATGATGTTATAGGACAGGGAGAGGGGCAGCCCAAACCCCGCAAACCTGTCTATTCTAAATGGGTTCTGCCATCCGCCGCATCAACACAAAACATATGACACTTTAATGGGAAGGATCTTTAATAAAAACTAGGAAACAATACAGGTGAGGCAAAGAGTCTAGTTTCTAAATGAAGCACCCAAAGTTACCCATCCCCTCGTGGGTAAAACTCCATCCATATGGGGTCGGCCCAGAGCAAGGCCCCAAAGCCTGCCACAAGTCTAAAACATCTTCCAGTGGGGACCCACAGAAAAGGGTCACAAACAACCGGACAAGCCCGGAAGGAAAAGAGCAAAATCAACATCCAGATAAAAGCTGCCATTGTCACCTCCCCACGGGTCTCACCCACATCTGTGTCACCCAGTCCACGACCAAAAGACAAGCGCAGTTTCTTCACGTGTCTCTAGGCTCCATGCGCCTCCTCCAGGTCTCCTGGCTCCATCCTGCTTCCTTCCCCAGTCTCTTCTGCAGCTTTTCCTCTTTCTGCTCAGCTCCACCCTTCCTTGGGTGGGGCAGGGAACCTCCCCCTTTCCTGGGGACCACCCTGTTACAATGAGGTGCATCAGAAACCACATGGGATATAGTGTCCCTGCCTGACTGGATATACCTCAAGCCTCCTCCGAGGACCCCACAATGCTTATTCTGTTCCCTCTCAGTGGGCACACAGCAGGAGTCACCAACTGGCTGATAGTTGAACTGTCAGGAGAGCCAGTGTCTCAGCAGAAGTCACCAACTGGCTGATAATTAGGCTTCCAGAAGAGCCGGTGTCTCATCACTAGACACAGATGAAAGGAAGATTCCAGTCAGCCTAGACAAGTTTCTGCCCAGGATGCCCCGATCTGGTTGGAGTCACAGGGCACTTGAAGACAACTCTGTAGAGCTTGAGCTGATCAGCTGAGTGGGGGCAGAGTCAATTCCATGTCTTGGAGAAATCTTTAAAAAGATCAAGTAGTTGGGGAACTGACAAGAGACTGTAGTATTTCTAAGATGTCTTTACCTCCAAATAAATGATGCTTAAATCTATTGAAGTAATAGAAAGTTAGAGCTGCCTAATCGGTAGGAGTCAAGTTAGAGATATCAGTGGAGGGAAAAATTAGGACACAGTCTTAAAAAGAAAACCTAGTGGAAGCTATAGGTTCCATTGGGCTTTTATAAATAATGAGTTTTTAATTATATCGATGTGATGTTTGGAGTTTTACAATGTGTGAGGCATCAAGGTAGGGGCTTTTCTATAGATTTCTTCCTTTAATCCTGTATCCACCTTATTAGAGCAGAGAAGTTGTTATCCTCATTTTGCCTAGTGGGGAAACAGAGGCCAGGCAGTTGAATTAACTCTTCTAACATCACATTAGCAGAAAGTCAGTGGATTTGGATTTATAGTTGCACTATTTTCCATAACAGACTTTCCTAAGACATTGTGGCCAAGAAAAGCAACCGGGGCAGGGTTGAGAAGTGGGGTGTGTGTGAGGGAGGAGGGAGAACCATTTTCATCTCTAAGATACCTACTTGTACCCATTCCCTTGCTGAATGGGGTGGTGGAGGATCCTAGGATTTTGTTAGATGAAAGAGCACTGTATTTTCACCATCAGTCACCCATACACTGGTCTTTTAAAGTAGGACACACATTAGCAGAGATTGTACTGAATGTACTATTATAATTTAGAATTAGGGCAGGAAAGAAAAACACAAGCAAATACAATTGGTTCCTGTCTCTTGAGGTTTGTGGGTCAGCAGAAAACACTGTAAGTCTGTGCCCTTTTGTGTCCGACACCCTCCTCAGTCCTCATTTCAAGTCTAATACTCTCTGTCCTGTCACCTTAAAAAATATTTTGAATGGGATAAATTCATTCTAGTTATGCTTCCCCTTCGTAGATCATATTCGCCTCTAGCTAATTTTTTTCTTCCTTCTAAAGCGGGACAGTGTTTATGAAAGCATTTGAAGATGCTGATAGTCATCTAATGTCTATTGAAATGTAGAGGTGATAAGAACCAGTAACATTCCCAGTTGTCATGATAACTGACTTGGTTAAAAGTATGCAAATCACTCTAAAATGGTCATTCTTCTTTCTCTAGATGCAATCTTCCTCCCTTATCAAGTGAATACACCAAAGATGTGGGATCCAAAAGTCATTTAGTGACAGCGAACCCCAGCATAATTCGACAAAGGTAAGAGGGTATGACTTCCATTTGTGAGGTACTAAAAGGAAAGTCTTTTGAAGTATTTTTAACATCTTAAAGACAGTGAGCCCACGTCATTTTGGGAAACAATGAAGAAAACCATCTGGACAGGCAGGAAGGATGAAGGAGGGAATTGTAAATAAACTAGACAGGATTATGGGTAGCCAAACACTACTTGACATTTCCTCCAGGATTCTGTTTCTTGACTTTCAAGGTGGTAGAATCAGCACGAGGATCCATTATTTTGTTCAAAGAAGTAATGTAATATTCTACTTACTCATTGCTGCTACTTTTCAGTTTACTGCTTTCAGTCCCAACTCATCGATAGTGAACTGAATGAGTATGTTTTATTAGTGAATAAAAACTCAGTAATGGCCAATCTCCTGCATATATATGTGTAGAAATAGCAACATTGTCAGCGGGTACAGGAATGTGTGATTATATGGTATGATAATATATTACGTTATATTCCGTAAGACTTGGAAAACAGGTGGGAAATTCTTGCTCTAATATTGCTTCCAGAAATCTCAGTCACTGCTGTGGGACCTTCTAGGGATTCGTTCCAGTTGAGGGAATCTGTCAGTAAGGTATCAACTGCTTCTCCAAGGGCAGTTCATTGTGGAGAAAGACTCAACCCCTGGAAAGAGGAGTCACACATATGCTTTACACTCTCCTGTGTAGTTAGGAAGGAAGAGAGAAATATCCAAATACTCTGGGCTTGGAAACTTGTCATCTAAAAAGTCCTATCAATCAATCAATCAATCAATCAATAAGCAAATAAACAAATAAATAAATAAAGTCCTAGCCAACCTAACAGCACTCAGTGTCACATTGTCGGCAATACTACTTGTTTTGGTTTGTAAACAAGTATTCCCATAAAGTAGACAGATTGGACTTTTACATGTTGATTCTCAGTGATGTACTCCTGAGACTTATATAATGTGATACTGCAGTGTTATGTCAATAAAACAATTAAATTTAAAAAATTAAAAAAAGAAAACAATTTTAATTTTGACAGATACAGTGAAATTATTCTTCCAAAATGTGCTTTCTACTCTTCTTTCAGTAATGGATAAGACTGCCTATTTCCCCATACCAAGCACAACACTATGTATTAGTATTAATTTTAAAAATTTTTGTCAGTTTGGTGACAAATGATGCATTTTTTTTAAATTAAGGACTGAGGATATTGAATATTAGTATTTCTTCTGTTAACTACCTGTTTGTATTTTTTGCTCATTTTTTAAAAGAATTCTTAAAAAATATGGAAATATTTTGTTGTCGCAGAGTTCCCTTTGCATTGTAATGCTTTGAAAACTGTAATTTGAATCAGATCTGAAAGAGGTCCAAAATAAAATGTATTTTGAAAAAAATACAGAAATAGAGACACATTATATATATTAAGTCTTTGCTGTATACGTGGCAAATATTTTGTTCCAGTTGTCCATATCTTTTCACTTATGTCCTGTCAGTTTAACAATTTTTCTTCAATGAAATTTGTTTTTTTTTTAAAAAAGATTTATTTATTTATGCATATAAGAACTAGGGTACAGGCCAGAGGTGTGAGGGGTGAGAGGATTCACCAGAGACAGAGTGGAGGACAGAACAGGCAGACTGACTGAAATACCCTGCTGAGGGGAGCAGCCTGTGAGTCAGGAGAGGTCTGCTGAGCCATGAGGGCCATCTCCCCAGCCCGGGATCAAACTCATGCTGCAGTCACTGTGGATAGCTTCATAGTGCTGCAGCTTAACCCCTTGTGCCACCAGGGAGGTCCCTGTTAGACTTTTCCTTCATGACTTCTTTCTTTAAAAAAATTGTGCTTTAGACAATCTTCCTACCCTCCTTTTCTAATGAGAAATTATCTTGTATTTTATAGTGCATTTGTATTGTTTTTCAAATTTCAGAAGTATAACCCATGTGAATGTATTTATTTTTAATTGTATAATAATTTCATTTTTTAACAAACCACATTTGTTATGAGAAATTCAAACAAAAGAAAAAAATACAAAGAAGATGATGAAAAGATCATTTTACACCTTACTCTTGTAAAGAACTAGAAGTAACGTTAGGTAAACTTTCCCCAGATACTTCATATAGTCTTCAGAATTTTAAAGCTATTGTTTTATTACCTTCTTTCATTCAGTGTCATCAGTCAGAAGTCTAATGGAAATCTCTGTTCCCAGTCAGACACACACAAATATAGACCCCAAATCTACAGAGAATATTGGAAATCAATGAGAAAAGGCTAAAAAACTTGTCAAAATGGTCTTGGGACAGTTATGTGTCTAAGTGGAAAAAAATATAATTACACCTCTACCTCATAGCTCATACCAAAAATCATTCCCAGATGGTTAATAACTAAATTTGAGAAGCAAAGCTGAAAGGTGTAGAAAATAACATAGGACCTGTAATTTCTTAACCAGAGTCAAATAACACTAATTATAAGGAAGAAGACTATAATTTTGATTCATTAAAATTAGGCATGTTTATTTATTTTTTTTTAAATAATAAATTTTATTTTTATATTCCCCATACAATTGCAACCCCCCCGATTCTGATCCCAATCCCTCCCCTCCCGCCCCCCACCCTCCAAAAGTGTCTCTGGTTCATAGTTGTTTGTTGATTTTGATTTTCACTTTCTTATAGTTATTCATTTTCCTGGTCTCTTATTTAAGTTTTCTAGATTCCTGCTATGAGTGAGACCATCCGGTATTTTTCTTTTTCTTTCTGGCTTATTTCGCTGAGCATGATCCCTTCCAGCGCCATCCATGTTGCTTAGGCATGTTTATTCATTAAAAAAAAAGGACCTGGTAAAAGCAGAGCAAAGACAACCATGTTACAGATGACAACAAAGGAGTCATACCCAGAATATGTGAATAACTCATATTCAATTTAGAAAGAAAATAATATGAAAGCTCAATAGGGAAATAAGACAAAGAATTGAACCAGACTGTAAAGAACAAATACAAAAAGCCAATTAATGAATGAGTATATGTTCTACCCTGTAAGTAACCAGAAAAATGCAAATGAAATTTCTAATGAGATAACACTGCAAATCCATCAGATTGGCAGAGATTATGCCAACTGTGGCAGAGACTGTGCAGCAGTAGAAACTACCACATATGTTAGTTGAAGTGACTGTGTTTACAACCACCTTGGAATGCATTTTGATATTATCTAGCAGAGTTAAAGATACATGAACTCCAATCATTCTTAGGTATATATATCCCTAGAAAAAAGCAGCAATAATTACAAAGAAATGTAAAATAATTTTTATAGAAACTAAAATAATTGAGTGTGCATCAATAAGAGAATGAATGAATTGGGATATGTTTACAAAATGGCATGCTTTATTTCTAGTAGTGAACTAAAACTACTCAATAAAATGGATGAACTTCACAAACACACTGTTGAGAAAAAGAAGTGAGTCATAAAAAATAAAGTGAGGATTTCATATAAAGTTAAAAATAAAACCAATTAACAGTATGATGTAAGGACATATGCATAGCAAGCAGAACTATAAAGAACAGCAGGTGGTTGTAGTCAGGGGGGACACTAATGGATTCAGTAAGGGGAAATATAGGAAATATCCAGATTATTGTTAATGTTCTTTTTCTTGATCTAAACTATATAAACTATTATATAAACTACATAATTATTTTTAAGTTGCTCACATATAGTTGATGTACTCTTGTGTATGTATTTTGCAAAATGATGTTCAAAGTGATGGAGAACTACAAAACTTAGAATTTTAGAATTTCACAGTTTGCTTTTCTGGAACAAATACAGTTCCAAAGAAGTGTACTTGATGATAAGTTACATATAAAAGGAATCAGTGTCTGGAACACAGGAATTCATAAAAAGATTTGAATAAAGCATATGTAAAGTATTACTAGCACCACTATTATAATTTAAACCTCTGTGTTAAATTTGGAGTAATTTTTTTAACCCAGCATAACCCCCAAATTACAGACTTTTCATTTTATAGATGGAATAAATAGATCTCAAGCCTGAAAACTTTTAATTGGTTGAAGACATCTTATAACACATTAATAGCATCTTCTTCACGTGCCTAACATTACATGCAAACAGGCTGGTTTATAAAAGTGCAAACACTTATATGTAGACATTAAAATTATACTATATTTGCACACTAAAATGGAAGACATAAAATTAAAGTAGGAGAAGCAGTGTGTATTAGGAGATTATCCTGTTTATATTTGATATTTTATTTATATCTGAGAGTCTTCTTTCAAAGCTGTATAAAGCTAAGACAGTGTCTTACACTTTCATGTGACTAAAATTCTTTCATGTGACTTGATTCTCATAAAAATATTCCATTGAGTGTTATGTTATAAGAACTATGAGTTTTCACTACAGAATTCTCTTAGAAAATATCAGTATCAAGATAAAATAGGTTTGAGAAACATCAAGTCCAAAAAGAGGCACACACACTTATAGTAGCAAAAATAATGTTAGGGAAGGTAATGTTTCTTGATGTTAAAAACAAATTCTCTATAAAAAGGAGGTATGGGGGACTCCCCTGGTGGCACAGCAGTTGTGTGCTGGGCTGTGAAGCTGCCTGCAGCCTCTGCAGCGCCGGTTCAATTCCCGGCCTCCGGCGAGGCTCCCACACGGTGCGACAGACCTCTCCTGCCGTGCCCGCTGTTCCCCTCAGCAGTGCATTTCGTCACTCTGCCTGTTCTGTTCCCTGCTCTGGCTCTGGTGAATTCGCTCACCCTCCCGCACTTCTGACTGTACCCAGTGCTTGTATAAATAAATAAATAAATCTTTTTTTTTAAAAAAAAAAGCTATAAAGAAATAAAATAAAAAGGAGGTATGCCACAGTCCTGGTTTTGATATCTTCTTAGAGTGCAGTCCTGTTTAAATAAAGGAAATAGTTTGATATATGAAAAAATACCCTCTGAACTTTTTTAATGTATATAATTTAGTGAGTTTGGGCATTTGTATATACCTATAATACCATG